CAGCTCTGCACTGTAGAGCGAGAGTAAAATATATTGCAAATGTCTAAAAAGATGACTGTACTTTATTACCTAGTCCTTAGCACAAGCCAATAGTTAGTGATGATTAATCAATCTAGTTTGTAACATAAATTAAATAGAATGAACAGGTTTTTACTACTAAATCTCCATAGGCTATAATTACATTTGTTCTAACCTATTCTTCGAGCTATGACTGAAACAATACCCATGCATTATTAATTACATGCTTAAATGTTAACGAACCCATTATAACATGTTCTCCGTTACTCTGGGCTTACACATCGAATGATAATTTGGTCTTCTTGAGATATATATTATTGCAGTATACATGAGTATTGGTACTTGCAAACATATGAGTCTTTCCTTCCCGCAGCGTCCCGAAACTATTTCCCCATTATGTTTGTTTTTAACGTAACAAGCAACATAAATTTGTTAATAAGCTCTTTCAGAGTGAAATTTGGTGTCCTGATGCACCGAAACGTTACAGTCACCGTTTGCAACGTGCATAAGCCACAGACCTCTTTCCTCTTAAGCTTATCAATATTGCCGGGGAGTCCGGTACACCAACGCCAGCATCTTGATTTTCGGCCACTTGCCATGCGCTTCCATCACTGTCAGTGTTGGCGGGGTAGCGTAACATGGGTGTTTATTTACCTACAGCGTGAAGAATTGGACATGTCAGTTACCTTGAGCATAACCTGGCGGCAAGATGCAGAGTCACGAGGTGGTCATCCAACAGCCGACCTCAGCCCAGTCTGTGAGCTAATCAAACATCCTTGGTATCTACTGGGTCAACAGAGGCTCCACGTGCTGCACGCGTGCATGGCCAGGATCCACACGCCAAATTACACTTCACCAGGAAGTGTCCATCTTCTTAATGCCTGTAACATAATCTCAGGTAATTGACCCAGCAGGTATTTATGTATTCAAATACCGGTTCCTACCGGCTGCGATAACGGTAAGATTTCATGGTTCGACTACATCAACAGGTAATCCCACTATCGCCATTGACATGCGTTCGTTTCCTACTACTGAACGCAGGCATTTTCGCTTCAAGTCACAAGCGTTTGACTGATTGAACAGCACACAAAAACCTTTCTTTCCTTTGAGGGTAATTATGGTTTGTTGAACCAATCTGATCTATCACTGCTTTAGCAAAGTGTCAGTGAAAGTGATTATTTGCATCTATGGTAGCTATTGCTCTTTCTCTTGAAATTGGTAACATCCACATACTAAATATCTGGGGAAAAGGTGCCATTTCCAGGACAGTTTGGGCGTTACTTCGACAAACATTGTGTTCCTTAACCATGAACACGTGGGAAGGGGTATTTTCTAGAACCTGAAGAAATAAAGCTATTTTTTCTCGCTATATTTTATTGCATGTATGAAAGAGGTACTGTATATAAGAACATCTGTACTACCAGTTGCAAAGATATATTTTCAGTGAAAGTCCTGGTGGTTGAGTGGATGAGGTCTTTAGACAATCAGTGCTGGGGGTTTGGTGCGTAACTCCGAGGCTTGGGGTTCAAATCTCGCGTGGTACTAAACGAGTATAATGTACTGGAATCGGTCTTCTTACAGAAAGTGTTATCGCAAATAGAATCATGTTAAAATAAATTGTAGTGCTAAAAGAACATCACACAATGATATGTCCCTTCCATCCCTCTTCGTTCATTGAAAGGTGCGCCCACCATCTTCTCAGTGTGATCTTCACTGTCTCAGTAGCTAAACATCCAAACATCCCGTTAGTTGCCTCTTACGACAAGCATGGGTTACTGAAGACCAATTCTAACCCGGATCTTCACGGGTGCCGTGGTAAATTGAGTTCCAGGACAAGCACACATCATCATGTAAATTGTCCAGTTGCCTTACATTTTAGCTGGACATTGTGCAGTGTTCTTGAACGATATGTTTTGCCAATGCTTTGAGGTATTACTTTTCACATAACTACTAAAAGTCTCTCGATCCCAGTGAAGAACCATAGCCTTTCTTCACGCTGCGGCATTCATAGTACAACATAACTACCTTGAACACAGTTATCACTTAGTTTGAAAGATTTTCATCTCTAAGTCTTATTTGATGTTCATGTTTACATCAAGAATGAAAAAAAGTATTGGAAATGGTAGTCACAGCTACAATGAGACATCGGAACAGCCGTGGCCTGGAGAACTATTCAGCCTTCACGATAAGAGAAGTTTGATACGTGCATTGCTCACCTTACAGGTAATAGCTAATATAGCTCGAAACTGCGTTGTAGTATTATATGAGAACATAATATCTGAAAATGTTTTCACAGCAACTGTTCAATCAGTTGTTTTCTGATACTGTTTAAAGAAATATTCCAATTTTAATCAAGGGAATGGCTGTAATAAATATGGAAAGAAGCAGCTTATGTCCTCTTTAGCTGTTGGAACGTTACTTTAGTGCAGAGAATAGGCTTTGAGGTCGGTTTCTCAAACAGTTCTTAAACCAACAAACATGCAATTAGTTGAGCAAACGCCAGTAGGGTATACAAGAGTAAGCTCAATTAATAATGAGGTTGTACCCCTGAAAATCCGGGTTAAAACGGGCAACCCATGCTTGTCTAACGGGATCGAATGGTTAGTTTCGCCGACCTGGTTGATGCATGTCAGTTGCGTAGATCGCTGCTCATGATGTCAGTCACTGGAATGTCTGGTCCAGGCGCGAATATGTACGCACATATAGGTGGAAAGTGCCGAGAGCGACGTTAAACAACAAACAAACATAATGATGTCAGGGCATTTCCAAATTCAATATCAGTGAAGGTCACGTCTTACTTTTCAAAAAGGTTGGTGTTGAACGCTGCACCTGGAGCTGACACGCTGCGAGAGGGTGTGTTGGTGTGAGTGCGTGTGCGGGTGCGCTACTTTGGATGAATGCCAGTTCTATAGTGCTGACTAACTAAGATACCATTCCACATTTTAACATGGATACCCAACTCAGTGTGCACTGAGAAGACACATACTTCTAATCCACAACAATCATGTTACCTCCGTGTGAAAATGTATTGCTTCGCGTGAACTTGATAAAATAAAGTATTTTAGTGTGACGTGAGAGGGACTAGCCTAGCTAAAGCGTACACTCGTCACGCCCAGGCACCTATCTGGAATTCCCCCCGTCCTGATACTTTAGCATGACGCAGATGTGGCTCCAACTAAAGAACGTCCGCTCTCCGTCAGATACTCTTTCCAGAACGTCGAGGTGGTCGACGTCGGCCCAGAACTTGTCGAATCTGGTCCGGTCACTGAGCGACCAGTGATCCAGGCTGTACGGGTAGCCAGCAACCAATTGACCGATCATATGACCCCAGATATGGGCAGCTCTTAGTTCTTATGGGGTACAAGAGTGTTTAAGCGGTCGCTCGTCAGGTCAAAGAAAAACTCGGGTTCGATTCCCCACATGGGTACACTATGTGAGGTCCATTTCTGGTGCCCGCGGGGCGGTGGTGTAGCCTAGTGGTCAAAGCATTCTGTCTTCACGCTCGAGACCTGGGTTCGATTCCCCACATGAATGGTATTACTGGAATAATGGTAAATGCTGCGTAAAACCTTACTCACTCAGTCGCTTATATCATAATACAAGGATACGTTTTCACCAGACTTACACTGTCGGTCCAAGGGCATGAGAGGTATCAATTGGTTGTGCATAATTATCTCCCTTTGCCACACCAGAAACCGGTTCGTTCAGATTAAGTTTCAACGTCTGTTGTCCAGAGTTGCGTTGTAAAAAGCAATCTTAGCGCTAAGGCGCACGCAACTCCCATACCTTAACATAGACTTAAGGCAGTCTTAGCGCTAAGGTTGTTTTGTTCAACAGCACCCTGATCTAAAACCTTAGTAACTTAGAACTTTCCTGTTACACTGTGATATAAATGGAAATCTGTGCAGTGCGGCGTTCAAACCTAACCCACTCACACTGAACTCATCACTGCTTGCAAAACAAAATAGTATCTGATATTTGCTTGCGACAAAAACAATTTCACATGTAACATAATACTTCTCAAAGTGAGGTAGGGAATAGTTTTGCGAAATTGTAATTTAATCTTCAGTATTAGACATATTGATCACTTTTCTCTGGTGGCTGAAAGGATCGCTCGAAATCCTGGTTCAACATTTCGCTCTCTAAAATCGGATTCCGGGATACTGATATGTGTGCCACTCGGATGTGACAGTTTCCCCGGTGTCGCGTGACAATTTGCCATCCGTGTCATGTGTACACGGACTGCACGTGCTAGTGGTGACATACGAGGGGTTGCAAACTGACATCTTGAGTCTCGGAAAGCACGAGCAGCAGTAAAACCCTAAGCTAACGAAGATAAAATGGGCCTCATTGTGACAGATCGAGGCGAGTAATTCGAAACACCCAAATTTATTGCTTTGAAATGGGTTTCCGAGAAATCAAATGATTATTTGTATAAGCCATTAGATAGCAATTACGAAAAACTGCCCAGTGCCCAGATTAACATGAAAATGCGCATATAGATGGCCGTTGCATCTCGGTGTATTTCTCCGCTTCAGTCAGCAATGTTGCTTGTCCTGCAAAGTGGAAATGTATGCATCTGTTGAATTGAGAGTTCCACAAAAAGGGCCATCGCTGTGACGAGCACCCTCGAGGCGCTACTCCTGGGCCTAAGCTGGTTCCGGCTCCCTTTACGCGCGCCAAGTTGTGATATGCGAGACGGGGCCCAGCTGACTTCCGGTACCAAATTTCCGGTGACGAGCATATACATAGTCCAAATTGCACGACCGCCATATATAACTTTACTATACCGGGCCAAGTGTACAATCATGCTTGGCTGTCACAGCTGTTGATAGTCGTAATAGCTGGCTAATTTGGGGATGGTTACATCGGAAATTTGTTATTCCTGCAAGGAGTATCGGTCCTTACTGTCAACTGACAACTATGAGACCATGAAACGTTGTTTGTCACCGGAAGTACTGAGGTCTCGCGAAGTGCCGTGACCGACTTCCGGGCCCTATACCGTGCATGGCCATCGACGTATGATCGGTTCGTATCGCAGTTCTCTCTGGGTAGGTTTGATCACTCTATGCTCGTGGGTTCAACCAAAGTGAGTGAATGAGCTGTGTGCGAAATCTACGCTGGTCCTGTGGTCCCTGGCTAGTAACAATTAATCAGGCCAGTGAATTTTGCATTGATAGGTAAGTAAATCTACGAATGTTATTTTGGACCAGTAAAGTACAGACAGGACCACTAATCATTGTCCAATCACTGGTCCTGTGGGCTACTGGGAAATTTTGAAAGGTTTCTTTCCCAGAATGAGTATAGTTTTACGAGATATAGTATGGTTTTACACAAGAAATTGGCTTCACACATTCTGGTGAATCGACCCTAGGTCTTCGGCTTGAAGTCAAAGAACCCACACAGTCTGAACATGATACAGTGTGAAGCATGAAGTACCAGAAGCCTAACATGAGCAATACGTTACATTGTTTTCTGTGTATGTTAGCAAGATCAGGCAGTATTAACGTCAAATCAGGTGGGTCCAACCCAGACATGGCAAACTATTTTATCTCCGTCCCAGGAGTTTGAGACAATGAGCTAAATTGGGGTAATGGCGAGACGAGCTAATACATTAACCACGAGACTACCCCACCGTCCCTTTAACCAATGTGATGAACGTCTGAGACTTCCGTCACTTCGGGTTTCCTTCTACGTTGAGCGCATGGGTGGATCCAGAAGGGTGTGTGGTGATGCGGGTGTGCGCAACCCTCCCAAATCCCTCCCTCCCATTTTCTGAAGAGGCATTTCCTCATACCCTTCGGACTTCATGATTTATGTGTGTGCGCGCGCGCACGCACACACACACACACAACCTCCAAAATCCTGCATCTGACCCAGTCTAAGTAAACTTAGGTTCCGCAGTGTAACAAATAATACTGTGCCTAAGTTTATTCAGACTGGGATCCGCCCCTGGAGCGTAACTCGATAAAACTCGCTCCCTCCCTCCCTCCCTCACTCACTCACTCTCCTCATAGGGATTAAAACTCTCCGCCAGCAATGAAGATTATACAATTCCTTTCGGGCTCTTTGAAATAAGACCCGTGAAGATCAGGGGTAGAATAGGTCTTCAGCAACCCATGCTTGCCACAAAGGGCGACTATGCTTGTCGTAAGAGGCGACTAACGGGATCGGGTGGTCAGGCTCGCTGTCTTGGTTGCCACATGGCATAGGTTCCCAATTGCGCAGATCGATGCTCATGCTGTTGATCACTGGATTGTCTGGTCCAGACTCGATTATTTACAGACCGCCGCCATATAGCTGGGAATTTGCTGACTGCGGCGTAAAACTAACCTCACTCACTCACTCACTCTTTGAAATAACACATACACCTCTTATAAAACAATGAAAACGAATGAATGTGCAGTACACGATTCTAATTAATTTCCTTTCTGTAGCATTATATGAAGGCATATATTTCAAAAAGAGAACCGAAAAACAATGCTAATTTTGATCCGATGAAATTACGATGTAAGAAAGTCATATTTACAGATCAATATATTATATGCTCAAAAAAGTGAGTGGGCGAGTTAACATTAACGTCGCATTGGCGTTATTTTAGCCATATATATTTTCTGCTCAAGGAAACAGCAGTCGAATTCCCTGCACAGTATACTTATAGACAATGGTGTATAGTCATCACTACATGATCTAATCATTGCGCCATCAACATCATGGATGGATGTTTGTTTTTCACTCAGCTATATGGCGGCGGTTTGATCTGGACCAGACTCTCCAGTGATCATCCATCTGAAGATTCTAACCCGGATCTTCACAATTATAGATCCAGGCTAGAATTGGTCTTCAGTAACCCATGCTTGTCGTAAGAGACGACTATCGGGCTGGTCAGGCCCACTGTCTTGGTTGACACATGTTATGTTATCCAATTTGTGTAGATCGATGCTCATGATGTTGATCGCTGGATTGTGTGGTCCAGACTCGATTATGTACAGACCGCCTCTATATAGCTGGAATATTGCTGAGTGTGGCGTTAAACAACAAACAAACCAATCACAGGTGTTTTCCCGTAAGCAATATACACGTTTGTACATATTTGCATACGTATCATCCACAGTCATGTCTTCTCTTTTACTCTATATCAGTTATATATTGGAGAGATGTGATCGGTAGAAGGCCAGATTCCTTCATCAATTCCTGGAGTTGATAACAACTTCACTGCTGGGAGCCAGGGCCACCCATTTAACATGGAAGCTGGGCAACTGACAGCCTGACAAAAGAAACAAGTTATCCTTGAGTGTGTGATACTCAAGTAATACTGAGATTTCCATCAAGATGCTCCTTCCTCACAGGCTTAATATCGAAGCGACATTAGATGAGGCCACAAAATGTTTTTGTCAAAGCTTTACAACAACCCTTGTGTATTTTGGGCTTATGATAACTATTACTGAAACATCGTTCTTTATACAATGTTAAACACATGGCCTCTGTGTTGTTCGCTTTTACACACCAGAATACTGAAAAGGTCACGTAGTTCTACAAAACACAGTTCGATCTCCATTCCGAGACAGTACTGACCATATCTCACTTTCCTGTTTAAGACAGTCCTACCCTGTGGCAAATGTCAGCTAAGTGTCAAACTCTCGGTATATAAATTCCATTACTTCCGTTTAGCATATTTTGCGACGGAATTCGAAGGCATTTGTGAGTCCCAGTTTGCTCTCTGAGGCACTCTGTAACAAGAGACACATCAACATCCAGCGTTTGATTCACTGGCCCATCTGTTATCGCACAAATCGAGTTTCGGGACCCTAAGAAAAGGATAAATCATGTCTTAGTTACAAATTAGTATTGATGACAATATCTAACGTGAAACAGCTGGGAAATGTTCTTCCGTTCTTTCTGTTTTCAGATGATCTGACGATTAAGGAATTGTTCCTTGCGAAATGCAGTTTCACCTAAATACAGAAACTGCACATGCAGCAAACACTGGTTCCAGTGCAGGTGAAAAGAAATATCGTAAAAGCATTTGAATAAAATATTAAGTTAATATAAAGAGTAAAATAGTCGATCGGATTTTGTAAGATTCACATTTTAATTTTAAATGTCCTTTCCCCTTTCCAGAGACCAATATTCCAGAATATTCTTGCTACTGGTCATATTGTTTTCAAAAATATCTAAGGAGAATTTTTTGTTTATTCCATCTTAAAATAATTAAAACGCGTACTTATTGCATATTACAGACACAGTGTATATCCGGATGAAAGTTGCAGTAGGGATCTTCTTGATTAATAGATATCTGGATAACTGCTACGTTATATAGTTTAGATAAACAAGGTCTCACAGCATTCGAAAGTAGGGTCGCTGGAAACTATGGATAGCACATTGCCGTCATAATGAATTTTATATACTGGGAATTTAGAAAGGAATTCCATTCCAAACCCGACACAGGGGACAATTGTCACGTGACAGTACTACAATTGAACAGAAACGTCAATGTTTAGCATTGAAAAGTCAAAATGACATTTAGTTCATATTTCCATTTTCTCAAGTTAAATTTTGCAAACCAGATATAATCCTCACAATAACGTGTGCACATTGTCTTACAGTGTTAAAGCCTCAGCCTCTCTCGTACACAGTAACACCTAAGAATTCCAGAACCGACTTATGAAGATGAAGTGGTCAGGATCGACGACGATGTTGGGTGGCATATCATGTTATCCCCATGACGTTGATCGTTGCTCATGATGCCATCTTGTTTAAAATCTATTTTATTTTTTTGCAATGTGACAATGTGTTCAAATAAAGTGGACCAAACTCTGTAACACAAACTGGCAGTGTTACTGGGTGTATTTCATGGAACATTACACCCAACAAACGTTTGTTTGAATGTCAGTTTGATAGCCATAACCTTAACACGTGTTCAGAATGTCTCATGTATTGATAGCTTCCTGATTAAATGTAGCATCCTTCCGAGGGCACTGTCATCACAATTTTTAAATGTCAACATTGTTAAAGCTTAAGTAGCCTTTAGGAATCGATATCTTACTCTTGCGAGAGTCAGCAGTAAATCCTGAGCTTTTTTCTTCAGACAGGTGAATGACGTTTAGAACGCTTGGTCAGGTAGCGGCGACAAAATCCGGACGGAGGATAATCAAAGATTTCTTCCAGCTGGGCTTGGCCTTGACATGCTCCTCGTGAATTGGTCTCTTTCACAATTTGCAACACATTCTTTGTATTCTACCAAACTGCACATAACTTTCCGGTATCAGTTTCCAGGTTACTTCCCATCCCCCTCGTTTTTCCATTTGTGAATTTCCCTGGTTGATATACTCGGTCGGCACACTGGTGGAATATTGGGTCGTGGAGTAATTAACAAAACACTTTAGCAGTCAGTTCTGTTTTTTCAAGTTGTGCATGAGCACAACACACATGTGCATATGCTCTCTTTGGGCCCTACAGACAATCCAACGCATTCAATGTACCTTCATTTCAGAAAGAGGGGAGGTGAGGAAGTTTAGTGATTGAAGCGTTCGCTCGTCACGTCGAAGACCCGGGTTCGATTCCCCACGTGGGCACAATGTGTGAAGCCCATTTCCGGTGTCCCCCCGCCGTGATATTGCTGGAATATTGCCAAAAGCGGCTTAAAACTAAACTCACTCACTCTTTTCAGAAAACAATCTGATGTTCTTGTTTAAGATAGCTTAATGGTTAATATATATTGCTACATCTTGATTATAACGTTATGTAAAAATATATTATTTGCGGATCAAATGACACCGAGAAACAATATCCGTGCAATAGAATCTCTGCAGTCACACAGGAAACACACCACGCAGAATGTATTTATCGATATGGCGAGATTTTTTTAACGGCCTACACACTTCTATAACTTCACAAATATAAAGTCGACAGTGGGAGGAACAGTATTTATGGAGGTTGAAGGGAAGCACGAGGACCTAGTTGCCTGTGGCGTCAAAATTCGCTTTGTAGAGCTACTTCCCTTTCCCGCAACAGGATCTGAAGATGTGTGCCCTGTATTCTGACACTTAGTAAAGCAACTGTTCTTCAAAGCATGGTTCAACTCTGTCACTAATGGCTACACTATACTGTACAGCTCGACCCAGAATAGCAGAATTGATAGCTATGCAGAAGGGAAACCTTTTAAACGATGTTGAATTTCTTAATGAGTGAGTTTAGTTTTACGCCGCAGTCAACAATATTCCAGCTATTTGCCACCGGCCTGTAAATAACCAGACAATCAGCATTAGCATCGATCTACGCAATGGGGATACCATGACATGTGTCAACCAAGTCAGCGAGCCTGACCACCCGATCCCGTTAGTCGCCTCTTACGACAAGCATGGGTTACTGAAGATCAATTCTAACCAGGATCTTTACGGGACACTTGACAGTGAAGTAAACGTAACAGTAAATATATTTCTCAGCGGAATCTAATTCTCAGTTTTCTAGCATGATTGTTTCTCTAAAACAATCCAATCTGTATGTGATATTATGTGACAAATTCCTGAAATATGCAGTCCGAGTAGTCTTATTTGCTGCTATGGCCCTGTCACAATAGCAGTGTCTGAATCACAGATGATTCAGCTTCGATACAATGATGATTCAGTTGGGTCGTAATGACGGTGTCAGCCAGCCAGGAGCGGAATGTGTACGCTCTGACCTGTATCATTACCCAGTATAACCCAGCTTAAGTCGGTGAAAAAGAATTAGTTGTAGGAGGAATCGATCTCTGATAGAGTTGATTGGCAAAATCAATGAACACTTCACTTCCGGTTAGGAGCTATAGGAGACGCATGTTACTCTGTAAAGAATGGCATTTCCTTCCTTTGTTTGTTTTCACTTGTAGCAAGATAATTAAAACCTTCGACCAGAACCTAAATATAGACTTGTTTCAATATTCTGCAGTCGAATGCAGGCTTTGACGTTTGCGAGAAGGTTGGGATCGAACAGTGCCAGGGTTTGTCTGAAAGGCGAACGCTTTTGTGGTAGCTTGGCGCCCAAAATAGCATGTGGTATCCCAGCGGGGTTTCGACGTTCATGACTTCGATAGTTCCATGTTGTTAGTCAAGGGTGTGTCTTTTAGGCCTTTCTAATTTGAGTTTCAAAGCACACTGAAGGAACAAGAAGATCTTTGATAACCTTGAAATGGACGAAGACGTTGACTGCGATACGTTGTTTACGGAAGTCCATCAGGCCCGCGTCCCACGCACTCGACCAAAAGAAATGGTCATTTTTTTATCTGTCCTCCTGGAACTGAGTGTAACCATTGTATCATTGTGACAGTTGATTGCCTGGTGTGAAATAGATGATGGAGTGTGGGGGAGTAAATAAACTGTGAAAAACTCGCCTTAGTAAAGGCATTAAGGCGTGATTAACGGCCCACTGATATCCTATAATGAATGTCAATATTACAAACTAACTCCCTCTCTCCGTACAAATTCACTGACACCATTTGATACCGCTGAAATAATGTTCAAAGCGGCGCTAAGCTAAACTCCAAACCCTCTCATTCATTTCTTTTGAGTCACATACAACCGTGATACCATTGAACAATTTTCTCATTGTCTGAACGGATACTACAGTGTCACGTAAGAAGTACCAACACATTTGTCAAATGGCAATAACACATTTCATAGAAAATCAATGCTCGTGTTGATGATCACTGGAATTTCTGGTCCAGACTCGATTATTTACTGGAATATTGCTGGGTGCGGCGTAAAATTAAACTCACTCACTCCCATCAATAGCAAGTTTAAATCCAATATAAGTATCGCATTCATCAGTTGGCTATAGTTGACGTCATGGTACAAATGTATACCATCGGCAGGACACAGCTCCAAGTAATTTCTGTAAAATATGGCATTCACGATTTTATATCGATATCTCTCTCTACGTTAACCTCAGCAGATTTCCAATCGTTCTCCAAGTCGACGTAACACATGTTTAATTTTCGTATTTCGCAATCAGCGGGTTACGTTTCAAACTGACAGAAAACGTTTCATTTTTCGTTTAGATTTGTTGTTGAAGCATATGAAGCATTCAGTAATCAGTCACACGCAATAACATTGACGCCCCGTGGGTGTACAGCTAATACAGCTGATCATTGGAAAGATGTGGAAGAGAAAGTTGCAGAACCAAGAGGGATGTTTCTCGGCACTCTGTTTATCTAGATCTCCTCAGAGAAATGTTGCAATTTTAGACAAATGCTTCCAGAAAAAGTGAAATCGCATTGTTTGTTGTTTAAAGTGGCACTCCCCAATATTCCGGCTACTCGACGAGGTTGTAGAATCCTTACCAAACCTCGCGGATACATATATCGTGTTATATTTACAGCTAATATGTATGTACACAGATTCGTCTATAATGATAATAATGATCGAACACCCCCTATTGTCATTAGTGACAATAGCACCACGGTACGACCAACAACACTCCCTAGGGGTGTAAGTTTAGTTTATTTCATAGTTTATTGCGCAGTTTCTCAAAGACATCCTTGAATTTTATGCCTTCCAGAAAATGGTGTCTATATCGGTCAGTATTTTCTATAATGTCATTTACCTACTTCTTTTAAGTTGCGCGTGCCAGGTAGCACGGTTACCTCAGTGAAGACATTGATCTCACAGATGTCTCATAGATGTATACAGTTTTACGTGTGCAGTTGTGACCTAGCAACATCTTGTGGGTGGTCGAATATGTCATTGCTTTATGTTTGTGTTTGACATTGACCGTATGTCGACGATCCACGCCTACATTTTATCCTCGACAATAATAGAGGAATTATAAAGGAAATCAATTATGATGCCTTCGACAATCCACTATGAAGCATCTAGAAAACATATATCTCGGAAGAAATGGATCGAGATATCGAAAATGCATACTAGAAGCTGTTTCATTAATGAATTATGGTGCATAAGAGCATCGCAAAACACGTACGAGAGGTATGTTCCTTTATTTTAAGAAATACCAGTTTTCTTTTCACTTCTTGAATGTTTGCTAGCTCAAGTAGTTATCGGAAGAACAGTCCTAGTAATCGGAAAGCTGTTTAGAGTTATGTCCCTTGACTGATAAATCGGGTTCTCTGCCTGGAGGCTTCAAGCAACAATACTATACGTGTTACAAGATGCATGTGATGTTATTTAATTCGTACTACGGTAACAGTATAACAGTGGGTCATTTGAGGCATTAACCCGACAACCCAGGATAAGAGACGACATATATATAACGCCGGCAAAAATATTTATTGTGATCAAGAAAACAGCTATCCACATTGTGAGATTTGAATCTGAAGAGCGCAAACATACTGACGTACCAAGGACCAGAATCACCGAGAATCTGAATTACGAACCAATGATCCGCGGATGGAAGGGACGCAACTCTGCACAGCGAAATACCAAGTGTCGACTCGTTAGCCTACCCGGCGTGACTTGAAGATGGCTTTACACGTCAACATTATCAAATAATGAAGAAAATCATCAATTATAACCGTCCGAATATTCAAAAATCAAAACTGCAATATTAATCAAGCGGCGATTGCTGGAGAAGATGCACAAAATCGAAGCAATTATCAGTTTACGTGCATAAACTGTTAAACGGCTTTACACGACTACTTGACTACGTGTCATTAGGATGATCAACTCGATC